GGAAATGTTCATGTCACTTAAGTTAATGAATTTCTGGTAATACAACATACATTGTATTACATGTACATGTTAATTAAAAGAGTTAAAATGTGCACCTTTAAAATAGAAGTTACCCACCCATCATTAAATACTTATTATTATTATTATTATTATTTTATTTATTTATTTATTTAGGACGTATACCAATTGATCCATTGCTGGTTCATGATGTTGATAAAGGGGTACAAGCTCATACATATTCATTAACCACCAGACAATCAATAAGTGACATTATTAATAAATTATTAATTAATTAATTTTATTAATTAACTTTATATTGTCACTAACCATATACCAGTTAATTTTGGATGCCGGCCCAGGAATAAATTTTGACAAATTTCCATTTTGATAGCCATTTGTCAAATTAATTAAAACACACCATTTTGTACCATTATGTACATGCTCAATGGTGCATGGACACTAATTTGCCAAATTAAAACTCACCAGTTTCTGTAATTGTATTCTAGTCTTCAACAGAAGATGAGTCCATCAGTTTGATAGTGGTATAAGTTTATATGGACATGTACATGTACTTGTAGTGTGTTTACAACATCTTTATCTTCTCCTTTCCCTTTTTCTCTCTCTTTCCCTCATGTGAATAATGGACGTGTTTTTGGCATGAGGGGTGTGGTCAATCTGGTGGCACGTACATTTTAAAATTATTTTTTTCATTTAATAATTTATTAATGAACTAATGTGTACATGTATATGAAATAATTACACAAAGACTAATCTGTTTTCAATAGTTTCATAATAAGGTAAAGAAGAACAAGTTTGTTCATGTTTATTTTCTAGCCATAGTCCCCTTAGTGTATTATTGGTCCTGAGAGATTCCATCAGTACCAGTACTCCATCAGTATCAATGTTAGTACCATCGAGAGAAAGGATAGATAGTGTGTGGTTGTAGAGTAAAAGTTCAGCTAGTGACTGAGCACTGGTTGAAGTGATATCAGGATTGTCATGAAGATATAAGTCAGTAATTGTTTTATTATTAATTAATGATTGTATTAGTGCAATGACTCCATCATCATTGATGGAATCGAGACTGATCCATAGTGTCTCTAATGAAGTATTGTTTGTTATTTTGTGAGACAGTGAGAGGATGACATCTTTTGTTATTTTAGTGTAATATATATCAATCTCCTTTATTGTTCTTATGTCTAGTACTTGAGACATCATCAAGTATACAATATCAGGTGATGAGTCATGGAGGTGAATGTTCTGATAACTGTCCGTTAATTGACTGATCACTTCCTGACATTGACCTGCTGATGGTTTAGTAAGGGATACTCCATTACTGCCCCACTCCACCTCTCCAGTCTCTTCTCCTAGTAATAAACACAGTCAGTCAGTTAATGTGTGTATATTATTATTTAAATACGGTATAATAGGTAAAATGATAATATTATATTATTTTATTAATGATGTTTGTTTGTGTGTTCCAGGTGATGCTGGTTTTTGTACCAGTAAGTCATTACAGCTGCTAGGATGGAATGGGTGTGGTCTATCTTTTATCATGTGACAGGAAACAAAAATCAATTGTACGTTTTATTAATGTATTAGAATCAATAATTATTGTCCCTCCCTTTCTCTCTCACTCTCCCTCCGGCTTTACTTCCCTCCATCTCTTTCTCTCCCTTCCCCTTTCTCTCTCTTCCTTCTTCCCCTCTCTCTCTCCTTCTCTTGTAGGGTGAAGGTCACTGTAGTACTTATAAACTGATTCAACCACATGCTGTTAAGTGTGGGCCTAATTGAGCTGGTTTCTGAACCGTTGAACTGGCTTGTATGTATAGATGTGACTTAA